TGGGGCCTTAAAACAGCAGAAAAGGTACTGTTCACAGTCCTGGAGACCACAAGTCCCAATCAGTTTCACTGGGCCCAGACCAAGGCAGGGAGTGTCCCTCTGCAGGCTCTCACTTCACGTATATTTTACCAACTTTTAAAAATCTTTAAAAAAGAAATTCTGAGGTGGAACGTCCATGTCTTCTCCCTTTTGGCTGTTATGAATAATGCTGCTATAAATATGGCTGTACAAATGTTTTTTGTCTTAGTTTTCAATTCTTTTGGGCATATATCCAGAAGTGGAATTGCTGTGTCATACGGTATTTTGGCTGCACCAATTTACATTCCCACTGATAGTATGGAAGGCTTCCCCTTTCTCCACATTTTTGCCAACACTTAGTTTTTTGATAACAGCCATTCTAATCTGTTGGCCATTTATGTTGTCTTTGGAAAAATGTCAATTCAGGAATTCTGCCCCTATTTTTTTTTTTTTTTTGCTATTGAGTTGTATATACACATATGCTATATGAGTTCCTTGTATTTTGTAATATTCACCACTTACCAGATATGACTTGCAAATGTTCTCTCCCATTCCACAGGCTGCCTTTTCATTTTGTTGGTTTCCTTTGCTGTGCAGCTTTTTAGTTTGATGCCGTCTTCCTTGCTTTTGCTTTTGTTGCCAAATTCAAAAAATCACTGCCAAGACTGAATGTCAAGAAGCTTACCCCATTTTCTTATAGTTTTATGGCTTCAGGTCTTATGTTCCTTTTTAATCCATTTTGAGTTGATTTTTGTTACGGTATAAGATAGCTTCATTCAGCAACATGGCTGCCCAGTTTCCCTACCACCGTTTACTGAAGAGACTGTCCTTTCCCCAATATATACCTATCCTTGACTCCTTTGTTACAAATTTGTCATAAAGTAATTGACCACATATGTGTGGGTTCATTTTTGGCCTCTATTCTGTTCCATTGACCTATGTGTCTGTTTTTATGCCAATATTCTGTTTGATTACTGTAGCTTTGCAATAGAGTTTGAAATCAGGAAGCATGATGACCCTACTTTGTTCCTTCTTTTTTTCAGGATTGCTCTAGCTAGTTGGGGTCTTTTGTGGTTCCTTTGGGGGAATAAAATGAGTAAAAGCATAGGGAGAAAAGCACAGAGTATGTGTTCAGTCTCTTAATCCAGAAAAGGGATCAGTGCTGTCCGTGCATGTACAGCAATGGTAAGAACAATCTCAGTTGTCTACCCAGGGGCAAAAGAACCAGTTTTGAAGCCAATTTCTCTTCTAACAGAATTTTAGGAAGTTCACAGACTCAAGAGAATGAGTAGGGCATTCAAGGGAGAATACTGGTAAGTCTTTCTGCACAATTCCCTTTTAAGCTAATCCCACTAAATCTTGGTATGTTGTCAAGGTGAAATGCTTTGCTCCACACCCCATGCAAATTCTACCTACCTATGCACTAAGAACATAATAGATTCCATTATTATTACAGCATATGAAAATGAGCCGGCCCTGGCCAGTGTGGCTCAGTTGGTTGGGTGTTGTCTGGTGCACTGAAAGGTTGCTGGTTCGATTGCTGGCACATGCCTGGTTTGTGGGCTCGATCCCAGGTCGGGGGCATGCAGGTGGCAGCCAATCCATGTTTCTTCCCCCCGCCTCTAAAAATCCATTTAAAAATCTTAAAAAGAAAAAAGCTGGATGGCCCTAACCGGTTTGGCTCAGTGGATAGAGCGACGGCCTGCGGATTCAAGGGTCCCAGGTTCGATTCCAGTCAAGGGCATGTACCTGGGTTGCGGGCACATCCCTAGTAGGGGGTGTGCAGGAGGCAGCTGATCGATGTTTCTCTCATCGATGTTTCTAACTCTCTATTTCTCTCCCTTCCTCTCTGTAAAATATCAATAAAATATATTTAAAAAAAAAAAAGCTGGATGAACAAATTAGAGTACATTTTTATTTATTTATTTTTTAAATATATTTTATTGATTTTTTACAGAGAGGAAGAGAGAGAGATAGAGAGTTAGAAACATCGATGAGAGAGAAACATCGATCAGCTCCTCCTGCACATCTCCCATTGGGGATGTGCCCGCAACCCAGGTACATGCCCTTGACCGGAATCGAACCTGGGACCTTTCAGTCCACAGGCCGACGCTCTATCCACTGAGCCAAACCGGTTTCGGCTAGAGTACATTTTTAGAATGGACTGACAAAGCAAAGGCTGCAAATTCTTCTGTATTTGCACCTTCTCTTATCTTGCAGTTTTACTGAGTCCAAATTTTTTAACTATCCTACGAATTGCTTCCCCAGTTGAAATATACATTTAAATATATATACATATTTTAAAATTTCAAAATTTTATTAGTGATTTAATTATGACCCACTAAAAAATGATGGTAGCATACCTTAGGACACTGTGATTAATGTCTACCAAGAAATAAAATTAGCTGAAGATAGCTCACAATAAACAAGCGTTAACAATGACCAGTCCGGCATTAAATCCAGAGGCTATTCTTTGCCCACTGTTCAGGTGTTAAAATAGCAGTTAGTAATGCATTCGGAGAGGATCGACTCTTCATTACAAAAAGCCCAACTTGTACTCTTAGTTCTGACAGTAGACAATTGATGGATTTTCTCTTCTTCCACACTAACAGGCAAGTAAGCTTATCACTGGAGCCTGTGGTCAGGTGGGAGAGTACAAAGTGGTATGAACTCTTGCTGTCACTCTTTTCTGTAATCTTAGTAAAGTCTGAGTGTCACTGTGGAAAATTAGCTCTACACCACAATGCAAGTGTCAGCCGTGTGACGTGTACACAATTAGAACTGACAGGAGGAAATGCCTGGCTAGGCCTCTGCACTCCCACCCAGCCAAAAGCAGGGGTGGGTATGGGGCTAACCCAAGTCTCAGGACCGGTTTCATCTGATGGAATGCTGTATAAACCCTGGGCATTACATACTAGTTACCTGGATGAGTATGAGTGAGTACTGGGACTGACCCAATTTCTTCCTGTCCTTTGTTGTGTTTTCTTTCGTGTATATAAATAATTTCTTTGTATGAGGTCAACAGCAAAGAGATCAATGCGGGTGACAGAGATACAACTGGGTTTTAGTTTTGAAGCATGGGTAGGGTTTTGATTCTGAAAGGCAGGAAAAATGTAGGAAACTGCATAGCCAAAGACAGAAGTAAAACTCAGATCTGACTTTGTTTCTTTTTCAAACTTAACTGGAGCTGACCATGTGATGGCTGGTAAAGAAGATGAGAATGAAATACTGGAGTAGAGGACACAGAATGAGCTGCAAGGATGAGTTTTAATGCGAGTGTCAAGGACTACACTACTATGCTGAGGTAACACCGCAGGAGCGTCCAGAGAATGGCTGCAGTCACTATTACTGCTAGTAGGTCAAGCCAGGTTACCCTATCTTACAAGACACTCCTCACCCAGGGTCAATGTGTTGCTTCCCCAGCTGAGATTGTCAATAGATTGTAAGCACAATCTACAAACATCATTCACAGGATTTTAAATCCCCAAACAGGAATACAAACTCCAGCCCTATACTTCTATAAGATCTCAGTGACTATTAATAATGGAAAAGTTTAAACCATCACTTATTAAGAAATAGGAATTTTAAGTTTACTATAACATACCTATCTCCTAAATTCGATGGTGAACCTCCAAAGTAAAAGACCTAGATTTTGACCAATTGCATTTAAGAAAATCCTAATTATTGTAACCTTTTGTAATTTAAGTTTCAATTTCTAAATCTGTAAAAAGGGAACAAAGTTCTTTCAGGGTTGTGAGGATTATCCAGGAGAATATATCTAAGATACATAGCACTTGGTCTGACCCAAATAATGTAATGTTGGCTACTATCTTACAAATAGTCTTATTTCTGTGCTGCTATATGGATCAGATTTGAGCATTGGTTGATTAAAAATAACATCTATTGCCCTGGCTGGTGTGGCCCAGTTGGTTATCCAGTACACCAAAGAGTTGGTAGGTTCAGTTCCTGGTCAGGCACATACCCAGGTTGCAGGTTTGATCCCCAGTTTGGGTGTGTGCAGGAGGCAACCGATAAATGTTTTTCTGTCACATCAAGGTTTCTCTCTCTCTGGAATTAATTAAAAAATAAATAAAAAATTGAAAGAACACACATCTATTACAGAGCATGCTTCTACAGCTGAAAATAGGGGACTATGTCTACTATAAAGAACTATTTAACATTTTAACAGGTTTATGAAAAGTCATTTTGCTGAAGATTACTGCTATGATTCTCAGCTGGAGAAAAGTGAGTTTCATCTCTATGTGGTAGCTTCAGCACATTTAAGTAGGGTTGAATTGGGGTTCACTACAGGATGGGGGGCTGTCAATAGTCTACTATAAGTATTAATTAGGGCTGGGTCCTTATTAAAAACAGATGATCCAAAAAGCAATGAAAAAAAATAGTTGATCTTGATTCACCTGTAGGCAGTTCTAAATTCTAGTTGCTCAGCTACCTTGTGCAACATTCTCCCTCTGTGATATTTCAGAAATGCCACATTCTGCATTTATATAGTCCTAGGTTGACAAACAAGAGAAACTTTCCCCTTTCTTATTAAGTCCAATACCTGGCAAAATGTCGATCAGTTAAAAATGTATATAACTTAACCAATATGGCCAGTTCAAGAAATAATTTACATGTCTTGTGGAGACTATTTTATGTTTGGAAGTAAGTTGCTTGGTTTTGTTTTGGCTATGGAAGCTAACGATTAACTTTTCTTAATTCAGTTGTACTTAGTATTTTTTTTATAGTGATTACTCTTGGTTTTGTACTTTTAGAAAAGGGATTTTCTAAGTAAAATTCCAATCCAGAATTTGGTTTTGCTCCTGCTGATGCTTTTATCAGCTGTTACAATTATAAAACCTGACTTTATTGAAATGAATGTATTTCCTAATCTCCTTTGCAAGGAACATTGTGCTCTTTCAAAATGCTTATCTAATATCTTCATATTTCTAGCTTAATAGCTCTACCAGTTATTACCCATATTGAGTTTTAAAATGAATTTATTAAAGAATATTATTAGGAAGGCAACGACGTTTGATTTGTCATTAAAAAAAAGTCTGTTTCTTCATGCTGTAGAATAAAGGTAATGTAAGAGGCTACAGAGTTACAAGCATCTTGCTACTGGATTCTGATAGTATAGCACAGTGTAGTCATTTCTGCAATGCTAGAATAAATAAAGTCTCTTCTATGCTTCTCTTTAAAAAGTGATGAATAATAACAGAAGACGGCATAAAAAAGTCACTTTTCTATTCATTCTGTAGTATTGGAGCCAGTATCTAGGAAATAGAGGAGAGAAAGAGTAAGTTCAAGGAGCAATTTAATTTTTAAAATAATATCTTAAAAATAAAACAGGAACTAATGGTGATGATGGTTTGAGGGGTGGGGAAGAAGAGGGGAAGCTGACCATGAGAATACCTAGAGGACTTAAAATAACTTTCCCTTTAAGACAGAGGTAAAACACAATGCTTAGCTCTCCATATTATGCTAGAGAAAACCCACATACTACATTTGATTTATTAACTGCTAACAACCATATATTTTTTTTCCAGGTTCTCTACTATCCCAAAATTTTAAACCACAAGGGCTATCACATATAATCAGAAGAGAATTATATAACTTAATTCCTGGTGAGAAACAGACCAAAATTCTAGCCACCATCACTTTTTTCTGCTGTTCTGTCAGGAACGTAACTTTATTTCAGAAAGCTGACTTGTAGGAAAAATGAGCTTATTTCATAGTAGCACCATATATATATTTGATACCTAAGAAAAGGAATTTTCTTAATTACTTAAACTTCAACTTCTGAATGCCAGACCATTTGCTTTAATTTTGGAAAGAAAATTTCTAAAATTGTATTCTTTTCTGCTGACACAGACTAATGGCACACAACCCAAGCTTCTCTTAATGCTCAACAAGGTTTCCTTGGAAGATTACTACAATGTGTTGCAGAAGGGCAAGCTCCTCAGGAGCCACTGCAATAGATGAGGCTGATCTGCTTCTTTTCATCCAGTTAAGTTTGAAAAAAACAGGTAACTTGTATCTTTAAACAAGAGTAACATACTTGAAGACCACCAGAAACTGGGAGCCCCTGTGAGTAAAATATGTACGTTTACTCAGAGGCCTTCTTTACTGACTTTGTGGTTCTTCCCTGTTTCCAATGATTTAAAATGACACTTTACTAGTCTACATCTGTGCTGTCCAATACGATAGCCACTGGCTAGCCACATACAGCTATTCAAATTACTTAAAGTTAACAAATGAAGTTAAATAAAAATTAAAGCATTAGATTTCTCAATTGCCCTAACAAAATTGCAGACAACGATCATTTCCATCAGTACAAAAGTTTTACAGAACAGTACTGGGCTACCTCATTTAGATAGGTCTAGGAGTTATAAATTATTGCCTAAATTCTAGTAAAAACTTAAAAGGTTATGAAAATGCTATACTATTAGCCTAAATTATAAAAATATGTGAACAAAAATATACATTATCTGAAGTACAGTGGGGCCTTGACTTACAAGTGTCCCGACTAAAGAGTTTTTTGAGATACGAGCCAGCTTCAGATACCCCACTGCTAGTTGGCACAGCGAACGTCACAGTGAACGCCACAACATCAGCCCAGCATCACGTGTCTCACTCGTTCACAATTGATTTGACATATGAGTAATTTGAGTTACGAGCTCCGTCACGGAACGATTAAACTCGTAAGTCAAGGCCCCACTGTATAGAAATGTTATCTTGTGATCTGGTAAATATAAAATAACATTGTTCCTTGCTGAAATGACAAAAAAGATGTATTTAATGACTATATTAACAAGTCATGCTTTTAAAGTTCATAATTGGCTAGAAAGGTACAAGTCATTGTAACATTGCTGGTTTCAGAGGCTTTCTGACATCTGGAAGAGACCATTTCTTTCAAAAGGGCTAAAGGTGTAATTTCATGCAGCCATTAAAAACCAGGTTTAAGAGAAGCGTTACCAATTATGTTTGAAAATGATTTGCACATGTGTATACATGCATATGTATATTACTGTAAAAATACAAGACTAGGTTATACAAGAAAACATTAAAAATGTTATTTTCAGATAACATCAAATGTTGTTACAAATGTTTTTCTTCTGTATGCTTTTGTTGCCTCTACATTTTTTTTTAGTGATTATTTCTTTAAAAACCTCAAATATACAGAACAAAAAACACCAACCCATAACCTGAGAAATGTAGAGTGTTACTTTCTATATATTTATCTTTCTCTTGCCTTTTTCCCTCCTTTCTTTATTGATTAATGTATTACATGTGTCCTTATCCCCTAATTGCTCTCCCCCCACCCCACTCTGGTGTCTGTGTCCACTGCTTATATGCATGCATACAAATTCTTTGGTTGATCTCTCCCCTTACTCCCACCCTCCCCTACCTTCCCTCTGAGGTCTCTTGCTTTTTAAAACTCCCCTTCTTGGACAGTCTTCTCTACTTAATTTCAGGAATAGCTGCTTTAAACAAATGGTTCAGATGATAAAGTAAAATTAAGTATATATTTAAAATACAATTAGCCAAAAGGAAAACTAATCATGAAACAGAAAGCAAAGATGTATACTTTTTGAAACATTGAAGGACCTGAACAAGTCCCTTGGTTGGCTGTGGAAAATACACCAGCACAGATTAGAAATGGATACTTACTATTATAATTGATAAAGTTCTTATGGTTAATTGAAATCTTAAATAACCATTTTTTAAATATAAAATGTACAGTTAGCCAGCAACACAGAAACCATAGGATAAATTGTCAAAATTAAATGCTTCCTTAAAAAAATAGGTGGTGGTGAAAAAGCCTGATAAATACTTCAAATCTGTAGCTGAAATCCGCCCATACCCCTAACTCAATCTTGAAGTCATCTACGTGTCACATGAAATATCTATACTAAAGTCAGTTTGAGATCTGGAATTCAGAATCTAGCTGAGAAGCCCAAGTCTCTTTCTAGGAGTGAATCACTGATAGTTTTCCATCTAAGTTTCAGATGAAGACTTTCTAAAGACTCATAAAACAAGATTTCAAGTAGCTTTGCTTTCACAGTAATTAGGTGAACACTTACTTTTACCATCACAGGCTACAATTTTCACTTTATCCACTTTAATAAGTTCTGTCACCTCTCTGAATTCAACATCATTCAATACAAAAGTCCACACATTATCGCAGAATCTGTATGTATTTAGAGAGCCCTTTAAAACAAAACATTTAGACATAATATGAAGTCATTTTTCCTCCAAAGCAATTTGAGACTCAGCCACCAAGTACAAAATTCTTAAAATAGTGTAATTCTTTAATATTTACCTTGCTTAATATTTTCCTTAATTTTCATCCTAACAATTAAAAAAAAATCCCTAGATAAATTTGCTAAGGGAAGAGTTTAAATTTTCTGTTGGCAGACTATTTTCAGCATTGTAAGTCTGTAAATTGCTCACCTGAAATCTGAATAAAGCTGTATTGCCTACTTGAACTCTTAGAAAATTTGAATCTGTATTTCTACTGCCCTCATGTGGCTAAATTATGAAAGTTCATTTGAATTTTTATGTAAATATGGTTTAAAAGAACATATATGTTAATTCTCCACAACTGTACAAAACATTAATTTTAATCCTGTGACTTAGCTCAGGGAATTACTGTATTAGCCACTAAGACTACAATATTATTGACCTGTGTAACTGACATTCTTCTAATGAGGTTTTTTTTTTTAGGAGCAGGAGTTTGAAAAACACAACCTTAATGGATTACTCTGTCACCTTCAAACCTGCAGAAAATATTCTAGGCATTTGAAATCTCACTAATTCTTCAAGGAAGGTAGCCAAACATACATAGGTTAATTTGTGAAACAATGAAATAAGAAAAATCTAAAATAAACTTTGTATCTCACATTAAGTGGATGAACTTTAGTATCAAGGTACTAAGTAAAAGTATAATTTTGTTATTATAAAACATGCTCCAAAATTTGATTGAGCCATTTCTTCCTTTCATGACTAATAAGTATGTAGGGGTCCTAAAAAACACTGTTATAACAACCACTGGTTCAGGCTACTAGGTTTTGGAAAAAATATCCTTACCCTGAAATTGACTCTGTTCCTGACCCTTTGAGCCAATGCTGAATTTATAGCCTTATCAAACTGAAGTAGCACTTGAAGGGCAAGTTGGGGAGTGATCTGTTGAGACTGAGGAAAAGTAAAGGTCATACATCAGAAGAGCATTAAAGACAAAATAAACAAAAACACGAATTATCATGAAAAAATTTCACTGAGGCTAACCAGAGCCTCTAAGCTCACACCCCTTATCTTCCTTTGCCATAACTGACAATTAGGCAATTAGCCTGACAATATTTTCTTGCATTATCTTGACACAATATAATTTTGAAAAGAAAAAATGCAGTGATGTTACAATGCCTGGACAAAACTTTGACTATCATTCCTTATAGTATCTGGAAAGAGGCATTTGATAAACTGAAGAAATCATGCTTCATTTAAATAAAAAATATAGGACCAATAATACATTTTAAAAAATCTAATAAAGCTCATTAAATATATAAAAGCAAATGGAAATAAGCAAATGGAAATACTTAATGTTCTTAGAGAGATTAGTATAAAAAATTCTGTTAAAATTAAAATTCAAATCTCAAAAAACTTTGCCCTGACCAGTTTGGCTCAGTGGATAGAGCATCGGCCTGTGGACTGAAGGGTCCCAGGTTCGATTCCGGTCAAGGGCATGTACCTTGGTTGTGGCACATACCCAGTAGGGAGTGTGCAGGAGGCAGCTGAATCGATGTTTCTCTCATCAATGTTTCTAACTCTCTATTCCTCTCCCTTCCTCTGTAAAAAAAAAGATTGTTCAAATTTACCTTAAAGCTACATAAAATATGTCTTTCTTATACATATGAGAAGAAAACCAACACACTAATCTTTAAGTTTAACAAAAATATTTGAAAATTCAGATATATGCAACTATATCATTCAATCATCATTACATTTATGATCCATAGTAGGATGGTGTAAATGCACAGGAATTTGAGATTATTAATCTGAATACTGATTTACTGGGCCAAATAATCTAAAATATTTAACCTCTTTGCCTGGAATAAGGACTATAACAAGAATTATTATAGATCCCTTCAAATAAAAATGCTGATTTTTAGTCTCTTACCTGTATAAGCTCATCGAGGCTTTCCTGAAGACTGTTTCCCAAAGTGGTATTTCTGTATAACTGATATGCCATGGCTTAGGAGGAAGGAACTTTTTCTTATTCAGTCTTGCATTGATGTCCTAAAAATTTAATATAAAAGTATTAAAAAGAGAAAACACTACAAATTATGTATGCAAAGTCTATACATTCTAACATATACGATCAGAACTCTTAGTAATTGCAAATTACTATATAATAATTTTAGAATTACAAGGAATAGTTAAAAATGATTTTTCTAATTATGTTGACATAGGCATTTATATTCCTTTATACAAAGTATAGATATTACAATTAAAATGTACATCTTTATCATTTCTTTCAAAACTTTACCTTTTGACTTAGCCTAGAATTTACCACACACCATTCTTTCTCCTTACTGTCAAGTCACTGATTCAGACAATATTCAGATCACATTTGCATTCCTTCCCCTTCATTTTCCTGTTCTCTTAAAATTTGATATTTATAGAGCACGTACCAAGAAGAGATAGTCTGTAATAGGTACTAGGGAGAGGAAGATAAATATACAATCCTGACCCTAAAAATTATACTCTAACAGACATATAAAAAAGTTAAATTCAAAAGAGAGTAAGAACTGTGATACAGATATACAGTGTATTATGGAGGCTGACTGTGGACTGAATGAGTTGGTTCACAAAAGCTTCCTGATTCTTCAAGCTAGTGTTTAGCCAAGCAAAGGAGGAAAGTCATCCTAGGCCCGTGGTCAGCAAACTGCGGCTCGCAAGCCACGTGCGGCTCTTTGGCCCCTTGAGTGTGGCTCTTCCTAAGCCTTAGGAGTACCCTAATTAAGTTAATAACATTGTACCTACCTATATAGTTTAAGTTTAAAAAATTTGGCTCTCAAAAGAAATTTCAATCGTTGTACTGTTGATATTTGGTGCTGGGGTCCAACCCCAGCAGGTCCAGGGGTACCCAAAGGTGTGGACGGAGTCGGCGAAGAAGGAATGACACGGAGACAGCCTTCAGTTGATCAGCAGCCTAGTCAGGATCTCTAGCCAGGATCTCCAGCCAAGTTCTGGTTAGTATCTGATTAGGATCTGATGTTTATTGTCTGGTTACATCTGTATTTATACCAGTCGATTTTAATCCTGTCAATTTCTATTGCAAAGGTTAGGGCGTTTCTTATCTCCATTCCAGGGAGTAAAGATTATGTAGCTTAAGTGTGATTGTTTGTAGTTAAAGTGATTAACTACCCGCCTGGCACTTAGTTAAGGGGTTGTATCCCCTCTCTAACCTCAGGGAAAAATCCCCACCTGGGGAAACAACCTTTCTCGGAGAGGTGACCTTGGTTAAAACACATGGCCCTAAGGGGAGCAAACATATTAAGAACAGTATGCTATATACGCCAGGTCCCTTGAAACATATGCTGTGCAGATGTTTCATTCCTGCAGCGACTGTGTCAAGCAGGAAGGATGGACCGGCTTCCAGCAATTTGGCTCTGTTGACTAATGAGTTTGCCGACCACTAGGCTAAAAGAATAGAATGATTAAAACCAGAGAGGGATAAAATAATATTTTTTAAAGAGAACTATAAATTGTTCTGTATTATTAGGGTACAGGTATGAAGTGGTAAAAGATGAGTTTGAAAAAGATGGCATGGATGGATTTGTTCTATCTGGAGAAGTGCAGAGCTTCTTAGTGAAGGTAATGGGGAGCTACTAAAGCATGTAGGCAGGAAAGGGCATGCAATTTGGCAGCCATATGAAGAATGTACCTAAGTACAAGATTAGAAAGAGATGAGGGGCCCTGGCCAGTTGCTCAGTGGTAAGAGCATCAGCCCATAGACCTGAGGGTACGTCAAGGGCATGTATTTCGGTTGCAGGCTCCATCTCTGGTCCCAGTCAGGGTATGAACAGGAGGCAACCAATCAATGTGTCTCTCTCACATCAATGTTTCTCTCTCACATCAATATTTCTCTTTCTCTCTCCCTTCTCTCCATCCCCTCCCCACTCTTTCCTCTCCTTCCTCCCCTCCACTCTCTCTCTCTAAAAAAAAAAATCAATGAAAAAAATATCCCCAGGTGAGAATCAAAAAAAAAGAGAAAGGAATGAGGGATGAGGACTCCAAGAAGGTGGCAGTAGTATAGATTTAACAAATTTTTACTGAGCTTCTGCTGCATGTCTGGTATAATACCCCTGACCTCATGGAACTTTCAGTTTAGAGATGGACAGGAGGAGATACAATCAAGGACTAATCATCAGGCAGAACTTAGCAAAAATGGCCAATTATCAATCTTCACATCACACACCATGTGAGCATTTGATATACTAGGTCATTTCTGCCTTCTTGAAGCCTTTGCTTTGTGTGTTTTTTTTGGGGGGGGGGGGAAGGGGTCCCACAGACACTTCTCTCCCCCCACTTCACTGGATACTGTGTATTTCTAGTTTTCTTTTGCTGGTTTCCCCTCAGCAACCCAACTTCTAAGTATCTGAAGGCTTCTTATGTCTTCTCTATGCTTTACTGCCTTAGTTTCCCCTTGTTGCTATATGTAATCCACGTTAACTTCCCTCTTTCTCTGCATCCCATGTCAGCAAATCCTTTCAGTACTTCCTTCTAAATATAGCCAGAAACTGACAACTTTTACCGTCTCTACCCCTAGCACTAAGTCACCATCATCTGTCACTATGATTACTGTCATAGCCCAGGAAGGAGTCTCCTTGTTCCTACCCTTGCTCCCACCTCCCACCGCCAGAGCAGCCACACTGAGCCTTTTAAGTCATAAATCAAACCACATCACTCATTTACTCAAAAATCCCAATGCCAGCATCTTATCTCACAGTAAAAAAGTTCTTTTAATGGATAGCAAAACCTACATGATCTGGGCCCTCCACTACTAACTCTCTGAACTTTTCTTTTTCCACTTCCTCATTCACTGGCTCCAGGCTGTCCCTTCTATTGTTCTTCAATAGAAGATGTTCCTGCTTTAGGACCTTTGCACTAGCTGTTCTCTTTGCTTTGAGCGGTATTCTCAGGTTCTTGCATAGTTCACTCCCTCATTTGATTCAGATTGCTGCCCCAAATGTCACTTCATCAGAAAGGACTTCTGTGACCAACTGAAGGATTGTCTCCCTGCCCGCTTATGCTATTTTATTCTTACTCATATCTATTGAGGCTGACATTTTATATGCTTATTCTGTTTCCATCCACTAACATAGATTTTCCATGAAGTTATATATTTACCATCTAGAACAATGCAGTATGTATTCAATATACAGGGTCAGCAAAAGTAGGTTTAAGGTTGTGAGTATGTGAAACACCGTTTATTCTTGTATCATTATTTATTAACTAGAGGCCCGGTGCACAAAAATTTGTGCACTGGGGGGGGGGGGGGGGGGGGAAAAGGGGGGGCCCCTCAGCCCGGGCTTGTGCCCCCCTTCCCATTTGGGAACCCCTCGGGAGAAAAAAAATTTTCTGGGTTAAGCCCTGCCCCCTGGGGGGAGAAGGGAGGGCCCCAATCCCCAAGGTGCCAGCCCCCGGGTTGGG